ATGCATCACTGGGTGATAGTTTAATGTTTCAGTGCCTCAGTTTCCTCATCTCTTAAATGGCGATAATACTAGCACTAACTTCATAGGACTGTTAATGTAATTGAGCTTAGACTAATGTCTAGCATATAGTCTTTCAATAGATACTGTTATGATTATCCTTTGCATTTTTTCAGGTTGAAAAATTCACTTCAGTTTTCTAAGTTATACCTTGATGCTTCACTCACAACAGCTACTCCTTATGTGGCCTACCCTAAATGTTTTATTTTATTTTAATTTTTTAAAATGTTTATTTTTAAGGGAGAGTGAGACAGAGCACAAACGGGGAAGGGGCGGAGAGAGAGGGAGACAAAGAACTCAAAGCAGGCTCCAGGCTCTGAGCTGTCAGCAGAGAGCCCAACATGGGGCTCGAACTCACAAGCCATAAGATCATGAGCTGACCCAAAGTCAGACACTCAACTGACTGAGCTACCCAAGCACCCCAAAATGTTTTAATCAGAATAACAGTAATGGGGAGCCTGGGTGGCTCAGTCGGTTGAATGTCCTATTTCGGCTCAGGTCATGAACTTGCGGCTTGTGAATTTGAGCCCCACATCAGACTCTGTGCTGACAGCTCAGAGCCTGGAGCCTGCTTTGGATTCTGTATGTCCCTCTCTGTTTGCCCTTCCCTTAAAAAATAAACATTAAAAAAAAAATAGCCTCATCATCATTAATAAGTCACCCTTGCACAAAGATCTCAGAATACTATGGCATGGTTCTGCATAGCACCTTATAGTTGGTACTCCTCAATTCTCACAACTGTTATTTCTTTCTCCCATTTTATCGATGCAGAAACTGAGGCACAGAAAGGTTAAGTGCCTAATATTATATTGCTCATAAATGGTAGAATCAGGATTTGAATCCTAGTAGCCTAGCTCTAGTGTTTGTACTCTTGACAGTTTAGTTATACAGCCTCAGAAGAGTATATTATATTAACACAGATATTCTCAATTTGATAAAAACATAGGTTGATATCCAAAAGATTAAAATGATGACTTAGGGATTCATGACCTTCTATGTCAAGATACCAGGGGGTCAAGCACCCTTCAGGATGAGCCCCAGGTCTTCCAATTTCCAGTTCTGTGATCTTTCACTAAGCAGATTACAGTCTCATCTGTAAGTCTGGGGTATATAATTCCTGTCCTATATATATATAATATATATATATAAATATATATAATATATATATATTTTTTACATAGGCTCATTTTGGGGATAAAATTAAATAAGACCACGAATAAACTAAATATCATTTTAGAAAAAATTTAGATATTAAAAAGTTAAGAGAATGAGATAATAGATGACACTGTTTTGCAAATCGTAAAGCTCTGTGTGGATAGATTTTGAAAAGTTCTTTTCAAAGGGCTTAAAAAACCATCTTAACAGGCTCTCACCTAGACTTCTGAAATAGATTCCAGACACTTCCCTGCCTCCAGTCTCTCACAAGTGGAATCTGTTTCACAAACCATCATCTGATCAGTTGTCTAAAAACAAGTTATTCTCCCTTTAAAAATATTTTAGAGAGAGCCAATACCTACTGAAGTTATTATGAACTCGTTGGCTGTGAGTTGGGGGACTACCTTCAAGGCCATATTCTAAGAATCCGTAACTAACAGTGGAAACCCATGGCTTGATTTTAGCTCTGAAAACAGGTAATCTTGAAGAAATAATTTAATAGCTCTCTGAAGTACAGCTTCTCATAGGTAGCACCTTGTGTCTACACGAATATAGGTGGCTACTGGGACCCTGACTGAACACTGAGCATATGAGGATGAATAAATTCATCTATAATTCACAGCACACAGTTCCTTCAGTTCTGGGATTCTACTGTTCAAATTGTATTGGCCACTGTCGCTCTACAAAAGCCCAACCCTTACTCACTACTCCATAATCCACCCTGATTTAGCTGGTGAACCTTCTATTTATGCCAACCTCACTGTTCAACTGCATTCTCATCTTCAGAGGTTTACCTTCAAGGCCATATTCTAAGAAACCTTCCCTAATCCCTGAATGAGATGGGTTTCCTTCCATTTTTGACCGCATGCAGCACAGTGTTTTCTTGTTGTTTAATTTACTTTTGGTTTTCTAGAGACAAATTCTTTTATACTCACTGATTCTAGAGGGTCAACTGCTGGAGAGCAAGGCATGTTTGCTTCTCCTGATCACTCCTGCAGGGGTCAGTGTAGTGCCTGATGAGTCCTATGCCCCGCCTTGGGAAGCAAGCAAGCAACTTTTGGAGGGTTAGGGCTTACTGTTTCCAATGATCTTGACATAAACAGGGATGAGAAGAGTCAAGACCCATACAGATGACATGCTGTCCTCTGACGAGGTGCACTGGGCAGCAATCCTAGGATGGTGTAGCAATCCGGAGGAGCTTGTATCAATCTTATGATAGAAATTATCCTGATGACTAGTGAGGATTAACAGTTGTTATTAACACTTCATAATAAGACTAGGTTGCACTATATGAAATTCTTACCTACAGAAACTGCAATCTCTTAGGATCCAAACTAATATTTTACTAATTTGTTATCTATTCCCCTCTCCCTATTCATTCCAAAAAGAGTCCACAAGAAAACAAGCGTTTTTGTACATTTTGTGTACTGGAACAGAGTGGCATTCAGCAAATATTTGTTGACTTAATGAATGAACTTGCTAAACACTATTTGCCTTATACTCTATTACATGATTTATTCCTCATAGCCCTTTTGTTTCCTCATAGCATCCTGATTACTACTTTTCTTCAGGTGAGAAAACTGGGGCTTGGTGAGGTCAAGTAAATGTCTAAGACCACATTCCTTACTAATGTTTTATGGTAGGCCATCTATACTTATGCTATAAAAGTTGTTTAAATCTAGGCTATCTTTCTTCTCTCAACTAGACCATGCGTAGATTCTATTAGAAACAGAATTATAAAATACTAAAAAGAGGAGGGAGGGGAGGAGGAGAGGGGCGGAAAAAGAGATAGTTGTCAATGGGTATGAGAAAGGCTTCCAATTGGTGAAGTACAGTATAAACAAATATTTAAAAATTACCCATAGCTCTTTAAGTTCTCTGCCTGAGAGTGGGTCCCTTCAATTGCCTTGATACTTGGAGCCCCATCACTGGCACTGCTTTCTTGGGAACAACGAATGGATAATGGGTGGCTTCGCCTGTAGCCTATAAGTGAACCTCATTGGACTACCAGACTCTTGTAACAAGCAAACAAGAAAGTGTTCTCATCATTTTTACCATTTCCTCTGTGGATGAAGTTGGTGGCCTCTACTTCCAAAGCCCTGTTGCTTCACAACACTTTTCCTTAACCTATCTGTGGAGATACAGTACCCCCAAAACTAAGTTAACAGTATTTTTATTTGTATTTTTTAAAAATTATTTTATTTATTTTGAGAAGAGAGAGCATGTGCACACATGTGAGTAGTACAGGAGGGATAAGGAGAGACATGGAGGGAGAGGGAGAGAGAGAGAGAGAGAGAGAGAGAGAGAGAGAGAGAGAGAGAATCCCAAATCCCAAACAGGCTCCACACTGTCAGCATGGAGCCCAATGCAGGGCTCAAACTCACAAACCTTGAGATTATAACCTGAGCCAAAATCAAGAGTCAGAAACTTTAACTGACTGAGCCACCCAGGTACCCCAATAGTATTTTTAAATGAAGGAGCTTTGAGTTCAAAATTCGTTGATGTTACTCATTCCCCTTCTGTGCAAATATGCTTTCTATTTTTCATAAAGGGAACAGGGTAACCTTGGAACACCTTGCTCAAGAACAATGGCCATAATCCATTAGTCCCAGTGTTCTTGACACCAGGGTTCTCGGGCCCCATTTACAATTTGCCCAGGAGTAGCCCATTGTCATTTCCACTTTTGCTGAAATGTCCTTTCCCTTCAGCCTGAAAGAATCTGTTTCTTTTCTAGGACACAGAATCTAAGACAGTCCCAATGTATATTTTCTAAAAGTTGAAAGAAGATAAATGATTTCTCAAACTCCCTGAAGTAAAATGAATGGCTCTGTGCTGCCATAAAATCAGGGTGACCCTCTGAAGTGGTAATTCTTTGAGATTTGTAAGACATTTTGAAATACAGAGAAAAAAGCCCACATTTCTTTCTAGAATTTGTAGTCTAACCTTTTAAGTATAAGGCTACAGAACAAAAAAACGGATTATGAACAAAAGCATGGGATTTAGACCAAATAGGGGTGAATCTCCAGGTCCACCATATTCTAGTGAGTGGGCGCTGACAAGTTAGTGAACATCATCAGCCCTCAGTTTGTTTGTAAGTTAAAGAAAGGTATAGCCACCTGCACTCGAAGATTGAGGAAATGAATGTAGCATACAGTATAGTACTGGGGACACAGTAAACATTCAATAAGTATGAAATAAACTATCAGGCATTAAAATATATAAGGAGGGAGGGTTCTCTAAAACTGACTCTCTTCAGGGCACCTAACTGGCTCAGTCAGAAGAGTGCACAACTCTTGGTCTCGAGGTCGTGAGTTCAAGCCCCATGCTGGGTAGAGAGATTACTAAAAAACATTTTTTAAAATAAATAAAATAAACAAACAAACAAACAAAAAACAAATTTAGGGATAAAACTGACTCTCTTCTATTCTTCAGCCCTGGATGAGTTTAAGTATCTTTTACTATGAATCAATGGAATACATTTAACATATTTTTCTGGGCCTTTAGTATTAAGTGAATATAACCCTAGCCTTAAAGAAACCCAATATTAAACAAGATTAAAAGAGAAGTTGCTCCATTAGTCACAGACAGTACAATTCAAGTGTGAAGAAAGCAGAATATGCAACTCATAGGAATGGATGGGTCACTCCATATGGAAAAGCTTCTACTACCTCAGAGATCAAGATTCCCAGAAAAACAAACACAAGTTGATCCTTCCCATGGTGGTACAAAAAAATAAATAATACAGCTTTAAAAAGAACATTGGATGGAAAATCACCCAGGATTCTCACCAGTTTGGAGCTTTCACTTTCAGGCAATTGTTTAATGCCATCTTCCTCACTGCTAATAGGTTCGGTACCACTCTGATCCTATAGGACATTAAGAAGAAAAGAATAAAGATGTTACTCTTCACTCACACTGCCCAGAACTATATACTCAATCACAGTTGGTTGTTTTATTATTGTAGATACTGTTTCCTATCTAGAGGCCATTTCTATTTTCTTCCTTTCTACTAGAAGGCCACCCCCTCCCCCCTCCCCCAGGGAAACTGTTCCTGCTGCTTACAGATAGATACTGTGTCTCCCTTTCTCTCTGCCTCTTCCCTGCTCATGCTCTCTCTCTCTCTCTCTCTCAAAAGTAATAAACATTTTAAAATTAAAAAAAAAAAAAAAGAAACACAAAAAGTCCCTATACTTCCCAAATTAACAAGAAAGCATGAACCTCAAATTGCCACAGGCAACTATCCTACAACCACAAGGAAACCAGCACTGAAATGAAGCCGACACTGTGAATGACAGAGCAAAGGCAGAGAGGGAAAGAGTGGACCTCGATGGCAGAAGTGAGCCCCTGTGTCATCTGACCTGAAGTACAGCCTTACTCTCAGCACCCTTCATCGGAGAGCCAATACATTTACTTATTGTTTCAGTTAGTTAGTTGATCTGTTCCCTTCAGCCAAAACTTTCTGAGATGCTTGTTTATCTTCTGAACAAGATTAAACTACCTGAGATAAGAGACTGTATTTATCTTGTTTATTTCTGAAACTCAAGTACCTAGCACTGTGCCTGGTACATGGAAAACACTGTACAAATTCTGGTTGAACCCATGAATGGAGCACTTGTTTACTTGATGATTACTTTCTGCAGAGTTCTGAAAATATTGATTTAATGGGGCGCCTGGGTGGCTCAGTCGGTTAAGTGTCTGACTTCAGCTCAGATCACGATCTCACAGTCCTTCAAGCCCCATCTCGGGCTCTGTGCTGACAGCTCAGAGTCTGAAGCCTGCTTCAGATTCTGTCTCCCTTTCTCTCTGCCTCTTCCTTGCTCACTCTCTGTCTCTGTCTCTCAAAATAAAATAAAGACATAAAAAATTTTTAAAAAAGACTTAAAAATATTGATTTAATATAAATGAGACATCCTGTAAGAATAAGCCCCATTAAAATTCCAAAAACACATCCAGTATCTCCTCAATTGAGTTATAATATATTAAATGTTACAGTTAATGAACCAAAGGTTACTTTCTGAGGGTACATAGGGGAGAATAAGGATGATAAATGGAGCATTTATACTGTATTTATTTGGATTTTCATATCAGAACACCACCTACTTGGGATTACTACAAACTTTGTTGGATTGTTTGTATGGAAAATAGTTTTTAAAGTAAAGATATAGCATTCTTTCATCTATCAAATGGACAAGAGAATAGAAAGAGAACATTCAGTATTGATAATGATGTAGAGAAAGAGGAATTTTTACATGTCCTTGAAAGAATGTGATTAGAACAATCTTTTCAGAAAAACACACAAAATATACAGACATGCATACAGGAAAATATTTGTAGGCATATAGGACAAATTTTTTAAATTGCTTACTTCCAGTGGATAAGATTGAAGATTAGGGAATTTTTACATTAGTTATTTCTATACTGTTAGATTATAGAAGAATTAGCACATATTATTGCAAGTTTAAAAAAATAAGGGAGAGCTTTGAGAAATATATAAAAGAAATAAAAATCTAAGGAAGTAGCATGATGTTAAATTGGTCAGATCTAGGTTCAAATTTCAACCTTGCCATTTAGAATTCTGACTTTCAGCAAGGTTTTTTCTAAGCCTGAGTACTTGTTTTTATTTTAATTTTTTTGAGGGGGGGGCAAGTGAGCCAGGGGCAGAGAGAGACAGAGATGGGGTGGAGGGGAGAGGGGAGAAGGGAAGGAGGGAGGAAGAGAGAGAGAGAGAAGTGGGGCTCACACAAAGGGCTCACACTCACCCAAAATGGGGCTTGAACTCACCTGATATGGGACTCGAACTCATGTACCATGATGAAGTCAGATACTTAACAACCAAGCCACTCAGGCAAACATTTTTCTTTCATTATTTTATTTTTTTAAATGTGGGACCGAAGAGTACTTTTATTTACTTATTTATTTAGTTGTTTCTTTGGAGAGAGAGAGCGAGCAAGAGAGAGAGAGAGAAGCAGGGGAGAGGCAGAAAGAGGAAAAGAGAGAATCCTAAGCAGGTTTTGTGCATGGGGCTTGATTTTAGGAACTATGAGATCATGACTCGAGCTGAAACCAAGAGTTGGAGGCTCAACCAAATCAGCCACCCAGGCCCTTGAGTATATATTTTTAAAGCACAGATAAAAGTACCAGATTAAAAATACTACCCCATCAGATTGTCTTAAAGGTTACTACATGAACATGTGAAACATCTATTAGCATAACACTGAGTGCAGTTAATTTTTGTTTCCAGCTTTTTGTTGTTCCTTATCTACCATATTTCATGTAGTCTTCATAACAACCCTATATGAGTATGTACCAATGTTATTCCAATTCATGGATGGGAACATGATACATTTTAAGTTAACTTGCTAATGAATGACTAACTAGTGAGAGGTGAACCCAAGACATCAAAGGTCCTGCTATTGTTAACTATGCTCTAGGCCCTAAGTAAATGATGCTCTTGTTTCTCTTTATTTCTTGTCAGTGTTTAAAAAATTTTTTTAAGTTTATTTATTTATTTTGAGAGAGAGAGAGAGAGTGACTGAGAAGCAGAGGGGCAGAGAAAGAGGGAGAAAGAGAATCTGAAGCTGGCTCCAGGCTCTGAGCTGTTAGCACAGAGCCCAACTCAGGGCTCGAACTCATGAACTATGAGCAGAAACCAAGAGTTGGACACTTAACCAAGTGAGCCATCCAGGTACCCCAGCACTGAGTGTTGATAACTAATCTTATGGAAAGTAGGATTCACAATCTTAAAAAAAGAAATCGTTATTATTAGACCATTAGTTTTTAAACACTGTTTTAGCATTTGTTAACCAGAAATTTTCATTAGGTAGAATACACTCTTCTCAGTGAATTTTGGGTAACCAAGAAATCACTATATAAAATAAATATGCCCAAGTTAAGAAACAAAGCTTGGCAATATAGAGATTTTCAGCATTTTAGACAGTAAGTTCTAGAGGCAGAAAAATTCAGAAGAAATGAATTATATTTTCAAAAATTAGTACTTAGTCTATGGAAAACCTTTAAAGCCCCAAATAACTTAGTGTTTGTAACTACGGCACATTCAGTTATAGAACAAAACACATAGGTGGCTCCTCTAGTAACTGCAAAAAGCCACTTCCTCTGATCCCAAATGAAAGGAGGCTGTCATCAGAATGGTGGTCAGCTGATGCCATTCTTTTAATTATGATATATCTTCTTGGGGAAAGCAAACTGATGTTTAAATAAGTCAGAGGAATCCTACATTTCTCGGCAATATGAGCATAGAAGTGAGATCTCCTTGGTCTTTTCTTCTTTTATAAAATTTTTTATAGTTTTTATTTATTTTTGAAACAGAGAGAGCCAGAGCATGAGCAGGGGAGGGGCAGAAAGAGAGAGGGAGACACAGAATCTGAAACAGGCTCTAGGCTCTGAGCTGACTGCACAGAACCCGACGCGGGGCTCGAACCCAGGCCCCGTGAGATCGAACCATGAGATCGTGACCTAAGCTGAAGTAGGACACTTAACCGACTGAGCCACCCAGGCATCCCAGATCTTCTTGGTCTTTATCAAAAGAATACTAAAGTTGGGGAGAAACCAGTTGTTTGATGCTACAACTTTGAAAGTGTAAGAAAACATGGGCAAGGCAGTCTCAATTGCAAATGGTCTATATATCCTTTAAGATTTAGGGGTGCCTAGGTGGCTTGGTAGGTTGGGTGTCCAACTGTTGGGTGACGTTGATTTCAGCTCAGGTCACAAGGGTCATGGGATCGAGCCCCAGGTTGAGCTCTGTGCTGAGTGTGGAGCCTGCCTGGGATTCTGTCTCTGCACCCCCGCTCCCCCCACTTGTGTGCACACACTCGCATGCATTCTCTCTCTTTCTCATGCACCCTTTCTCCCTAAAAAAAGAAAAAAAGATTTGGATAAAAACAAAAAAGAATACCCTTTACATCTACACCTACAAAATTATCACACAAAGCCATGTCTCAAATGTCACTTACTCCATAAATCCTTTCCTTCTGCTTATCTGGAAGACACCTTTTATTCCTCTAACCTCACTTAACATTTTTCCTGAATTTCCTAAGTCACTTAATTTGTATCCTAATTATATATGTATGGAATTGATCTCCCTAATGAGACTGAAACATCCTTGAATCTAACATCTGTGCCTCAATCATTTCCTTTGAGCCTTCTTTTTATTCAACCTAGGTCTGTCTCATTTCAAAGTCAATGCTTTTTTTTAACTCTACCATGAACCCCTTTCTAATGCTCTTCCTGTTTTTAGTTACTGGTTTAGTTTGAGATGGTTCTATAGAGGAGGATTTGAAGTCAAAATCTAGATGGAGAGGAGTCAGGTAAAAAAGGAGGTTGGAAATGAGAAAGGTTAGCAATAACACACGTACTTTCCTAGGAGAGTTAACATTTATAGAAGAGTTTTCATCCTTAAATGAGGCACAGAACAAAACAATGTGGGCTCTTTTCTGAAAACAGAATGGCTCACATGTGTTAGGCAACCTTTAAGATACCCCGCTGACCAGGAGCTTAGAAATCAGGAATCAGTCAGAGACGGGAAGAAGAAAATAGGTCAGCAAGCATGACTTCCAAAGTACAATTCTATCACGGTGGTTTGAAGACCATCTGGCTGGTGGACGGTGGCCCAGTGACACCCGAAATGATTCAGCTAATTTGGAGAGCTGGGTGTTCCCTTCCTTCCTTTCTTGCTGATCCTCAAACCACCTGTCCAAAGTTGTCTGTGCAGCCAAGCTTGCTCAAGGGGAATGACCTTTTCCCATGAAGATCACAGACAGTAGATTCTAGGGTCAATTATATTTTAAAGGTGAATGAAAAGAAAAATCCAGTCTCATAAAAAAAAAAAAAAAAAAAAATTAAAAAAAAA